GATTAGAAAAGTCGTGAAAAATCACAGTTTGGAATACTCTATGTAAATTTTTATTATCTCGTAGTTCTGGAATGTAACTGCATATTTTCAATATTTCCGCGTTACACATGAATCTTGAGATAATTTAAATACGTAAGTACTGTAATCCACAAAGAAACAATGTTTCCTGATAAAAAAAAACCTGGTCGGAAGTGATAACAAATTGCGTCGATTTATGTACCGTAATAGAGAAAGATATCTTGATAGTTCTCATCTTACTATTAATTCACCTCTCGCCTTTGTCTTTTCCTTGATTGACTGTCAATAATCTTTTCATAAATGATGTTCGCGACATGTGAGCAATTCCTTTTATTAAGACGTATATTCACTTTTTACAAACTGTTACATTCTTTAGTTTATAAATGTAAGAATTATCTCCATAATAATCTTACGCGTCTCACCGGCAATACCGATTGCCTTATTTTGCCTGCCTATAAAATATTTATAAATTAGGCTAATAGACAAACAAACACAAAAAACATGTAAAAACACGTAAAAAAGGATAATCGCTTTAATTTAACTTATCTCAACAGTTTCGTGCAAACCATCGGATAGTATCCTTTTTCTGTAACAAAATAATTGTAGAGAATAGTTTATCTGAGAAACTATCAGAGTAAAATGAAGATCTTTTTCTTTTGTCTTTTTGTCGGGAATGTTATCCACATAGCCGAACTCACGAGAGATCGGTTCTACGATCTTTGCTGTGGTGGCTTTTTCTTCCCTCCTCCCCCACCCCCTTTTTTGGACGTCCCTTTAGGTCGCCATGTTAATTCCTAGTTCCTTTCGATGCGATTCCATACAGATGGCGGTGGCAATAAATGCACGAGAGAGAAGGAGAAAATTTCCCAATTATACGTAGCAGAGTAATATTACCTTACGTATTGTTGGGAGTGTCGTAATGTTCGATTGCAGCTGCAAAGTCGATGGTCAAAATCTTTGAAATTCATATCATGGTTGCTTTCCTCCACGGAGACAAACTTTGACAAATATTTATTGTGTTGTTATATCCTTCTAAAAATAAATCCTACAAAGACAAAGATGAGCACTTTGAGTTGTGGTTGAGCCAACAAAAGCAAGATCGATCCGTTATGACGCTCTGAGTTATGATATAGTCCTTGCGAAGAAGAGATTTCTGCCGTAAATTCTTATGAAATAATAACATACACAATCAACAAAGTCGTGATAAGGTTCCTTACAATGATTACATAAATAAATTAAAAATCAAGTCAATGATAATACATTTTTTTCTTTGTTGTATATTTAATCTCTATTAAAATGTAATATTTATATGTGGCGTCAGTCATAGATAGTTCCAAGAGAAATAAGTCCGATTAAAAGCTGCACCGAGCGAGAGTATAGAAAAGAGCGGAATATGTCGAAACAAGTAGACAATTTATGCAATTGCATCAATAAAATATTGGAATTGTGAATATTTGAATAATCAAAATTATTTTTTAACATGATCTTGACATCTTTGTAATTATTTCCAAGAATGCCGAAATTGAAAGCACCTGATCCTGTATATTGTGTATATTCTTTGTTGTGACATTGTAAGTATTTTTGTTAACAATAATAATGTTTAGCGAAAAATTTTTGTATGTCAATTCCGACTGTAATAATCACAATTCGTCCAGTCAGAGCGAATGGTTTCCCAAGTTATAATATCCTTTCGGTTGTTTTGTAGAAATATATTTATTGAAAAAACGACAGCAAGTAACATATTCCGTCTATATTTCTTTCTACATTTCTTTTTATGGTTTTATGGTCACAATTATCGTCGGAATTTCAAAATCATATTCATTTTTCTCTTATCACAAATTCTCTCGCATGTCTCTTGCATGTCGCATTTCTAATCGTTACATTCGTTTGCTCGTGCGCTCGTCGAGTGACGAATTTGAAAAGAATTACACAGTCATCACACGCCGATAACTTGGACCGCTTCTTTTGGTTGATACACATGTATGTCAACCAAAGTATGCATAACGTGTGCATAACGCGTATCCGGAAAGCAAATATTCAGAGTTAGCAGATGACACAAGGCGCAAGTAAAAATTGCAAAATGTCTCTTTTAGTTAATTCAGTAAAATGAAAAATTGATATAATTTAATCAATACATGTTATCGTATTATCGTACATGTGCACGCCGCGATTAGGATACAATAACTTCTAATTCGTTATAGCTCAACACAGGCATTCCCCATGCCAAAGACGTTTCTACATATCGCAATATACTACTATACTACACATTGTTAACATGTCTCATTGTTTCAAGAATGCAATGAAAGAGTTAGTAACGATATCAGTGTGTCCACTGGGTATATTCCGTAAACAAACTTTTACACAGTCGCACGTGTAGCGAGTGCCACTACTCGGCGGGCGGGTCGCCACAAAAACGTCATATCTGACTGAACAAATCATGGTCATGATCGCATATTACATTCATATTATTTCTCTGTGCGATTTCAAAATTTCTTTGTTCCTTATTTGTTTGGATTATCATCCAATTAGGGATCAAGCATGGTTTAATTGAATGTTCACATCTAGTCAAGACGATTATAATAATCTATAATCTTTTTGACTATTTCATCACTTTTGTGATCAAATTTCGAATTGACCAAAATTTGAATTATATACTGAAAATCGCAAGAACAAATCTAGAACCTGACTATAAATTGATCGTTCCTACACGGAATCACGCGTAAATCGCGTAAATCTCGATTCTAAAATTTATTCCGCCTTTTTGTGTCATTTTCTTTCCTTCTCGCTAATCACGTTGCGGTTCATACGCTTGTCGAAGACGAAATGGCCGTTGAGTCGCGCTAAGCTTATAACTATTTTATAATTGGCGATCTTCTAGATCTGAGAATGTATGATTTTCAGAGATGTCGCGAGAAACGTATCAGTATCTTTCTCGTGAAGAGATGTAAGCGAAGTATCATTTATAATGAAACTACGGTTACCGGTGCTACATCTGTTTTGCGTGCTTGCACGCCTAAGAATTTTTCGGTACTTACTAAAGCAAGGATAATATATATTTGGATGAAAGAAGAACGAGAAATTTAAATAGTAAGATATTAACAGAAAAAAGAATTACTCGATATAATAATAATAATAATAATAATAATAATAATAATAATAATAATAATAATAATAATAATAATAATAGATAATAGTAATAATAGATAATAATAAGACTGATGAGAATCGGCGTTATAAATAATGCGCAATTATGTTTAATTTTAATTATTTTTATTAAAAAAAAATGCCAAACGTTTCGACTCGAATTTGGGCCATCTTTAATAATACAAAAATGTAGCAAGGATATATCTCCGGTAAGCCCAACTATAAAAAAATAATGATGTCACTCACGTCGGTTTACTAAATGAAATTACTAATTACCAAAATAAAACTTTTAATATGAGATGACACATTCAAATCATTCGTATGAAGTAAAAAGGAAAAAGTAGTAATTATAAAACGATTGTCACTCACACTTAAATGTAAGAAGTACAAGCAACGTGAACAGACCTAGTATTTATTATCGGTGTCCGTGACACGACATGATACGGCGGACAATTGCGAGCTCTCATTTAAGATTCCTTAGAAATTTCTTATCGAGAAGGAGGTAGCTATACGTAGTTTACAAACCATTTTCTTGTAGATAGCGTCAGTGGTGTCAGCGTAATTAATGTCAGCGGAGACTGGCATGATATCGATATGACATGTGCAATCTTATCGAGCATTCGGGCATATGTCTCTTTCATCGGTATCTTCAATTTTATAAAGGTGAATGGGAAATTGAAATTGATAAAACTCGGCATTTCGAGACCCGTCATGCCTCCTACTTATTACAAGCTGTAGTCAAACTTTGACAATGTTTTGTACATCGTTGGCTGTATCGACCACTCACAATCTTTGACATATGAGCACATATGTGAGCCTCGAGAATCCTGTTGCATACGACAATCATCTCAGAGAGTCGTTTTGAAGAATATCGATTTGCATTTTAATTCAGCCATCAAAATGCTCGTAATTTATCGCCCGAATTAAGGCGTGTAGGATTATCCTTTGAGTTTATCTCTCGCTAGATTAACGCGTGATACCACATCAACGAGCGCAATGACATCCAATAAACTCAAATTTTTTGTGTTTTCCGCGTCTCTTCACTAACCATATATGTACGTACGTAATGTATGTTAGTAATGTCCTTAGTAAATATGCCTTAGATATAATATAAGTGCTATCAATAGTAATATTTCTGTGGAAACTGTGACATGAAATCATCTGCGCTTAAGACTTTCATCGATGCAATCCAATATTTCTTGCGCGATGCATCAATCACTAACATATTGAAAGACACAAACAGTATATTTGCCGCAGAGGTGTACATGTGATGTAATTGTACAAGTCAAGAATGACAGACTTGCTGTCAATTATTCAATAGCTTCAAGGATATTATGTTCAAACTGTGCCATTCTGCTTGCGAGAAGGTGACGATGGAATTGAAGGATCTATGATAGAAATTGAAACTTCACCACTTCTTCATACACTATTTTTCTTAACAGCGTAGTTTTGTAACAAGGAATTTTCATATACGTTTTATCCAAACTAAAGATAAAAAAATAATGAATTAAGATACCGAATAGAAGGAATTGATATATTGATGCTTTGGTGAGATAAAAGCCACCAAAGATGAAAAATATTGTAGTTTTCTATTACAAAATCCGGCCAACTTCAGCCTTCGATATCCCACACAAATTCTGTTAAACATTTTCTGATCATTCTTATTCTACGTTGAAAACCATGATTTTACCTGGTTATCATAATAATAAACTGATAATGGTTACACACGCATAATTCTTACTTTTATAGTTGGGTAATCAAGCTTGTTTATCGCTGTGATCAAAACTATTTGAAACAATAAAAAAAACTCTTTCTCTTTCTCCATAAACCGAACTAACCTTTGAGCAGCGGCAACTGCTGGAGCTCCACATCCTGCGAGTTGCGATAGCGGGAGGAGCCTTGCGACTTTTTGGATTTTTTCTTGAGGGATCGCTTGGCGAAGGGATCTATCCTGTCCACGAAGGCCCCTGACGACATTTTGGCATTAACGGAGGCACTGTGAGACTATCTTGATGCTTAAGCGGAAACGCTCGCACTGCTTTCCACCGGGTGTCCTCTTTCCGCGTGAACAGCGGAGTCGCCTTGCGACTAGAGATCGAGATCACCTCCGCTCCGAGAAGACCGCATTCCGTGGCTGTGACTACGACGAAATAACACCGCACTCACAAAAGAAATAAAGAGACGAATATATAAGTTTACGCGAATGCACGTGACGCGCTTTTATATCCGATCGCATCGATTCCTCTCTCTCTCTCTCTCTCTCTCTC